CATACAATCAATCAATAAGTACATGAAAAAATGCTCACCATCTCTAGCAGTCAGAGAAATGCAAATCAAAACCACCCTAAGATACCATCTCACTCCAGTAAGATTGGCAGCCATTATGAAGTCAAACAACAACAAGTGCATGTGGGGGCGAGGATGTGGGGAAAAGTGTACACTTGTACATTGCTGGTGGGACTGCAAACTGGTGCGGCCAATTTGGAAAGCAGTATGGAGATTCCTGGGAAAGCTGGGAATGGAACCACCATTTGACCCAGCTATTGCCCTTCTCGGACTATTCCCTGAAGACCTTAAAAGAGCGTACTACAGGGATACTGCTACATCAATGTTCATAGCAGCTCAATTCACAATTGCTAGACTGTGGAACCAACCCAGATGCCCTTCAATAGACGAATGGATTAAAAAATGTGGCATTTATACACCATGGAGTATTACGCAGCACTAAAAAATGACAAAATCATGGAATTTGCAGGGAAATGGATTGCACTAGAGCAGATTATGCTTAGTGAAGCCAGCCAATCCCTAAAAAACAAATACCAAATGTCTTCTTTTATATAATGAGAGCAACTAAGAACAAAGCAGGGAGGAAGAGCAGGAAGAAAAGATTAACATTAAACAGATACATGAGGTGGGAGGGAAAGGCAGAGAAAAGGGAAATTGCATGGTAATGGAGGGAGACCTGCATGGTTATACAAAATTACATATAAGAGGTTGTGAGGGGAATGGGAAAATAAACAAGGAGAGAAATGAATTACAGTAGATGGGGTAGAGAGAGAAGATGGGAGGGGAGGGGAGGGGAGATAGTAGAGGATAGGAAAGGTAGCAGAATACAACAGTTACTAATAGGGCATTATGTAAAAATGTGGATGTGTATCTGATGTGATTCTGCAATCTGTATTTGGGGTAAAATTGGGAGTTCATAACCAACTTGAATCTAATGTATGAAATATGATATGTCAAGAGCTTTGTAATGTTTTGAACAACCAATAAAATAAATAAATAAATAAATGACCATATACTGAATTATAAGTAAATAAATCACAATAGAGTTAAAAGGGTTGAAATCATAGAGAATGTACTGTGAACACAAAGGATGTAAGTTATAAATATATAAATATTATATATCTAGAAATTATGGAACTATTTGAAAACAAAACAACACACTTTGAAATGAACCATTGGTCAAAGAAGAAATCACAAGAAAATGAAAAAAAAAAGGAAATTGAAAATTTGCATTTTAAAATGCTTACCTTTCAAAGGGAATTAGAAACTAATTGTTTCAGTTTATATCTTAGAAAGTCTGTAAGGTAAGCAAATGAAACCTAAACTAACTATAAGGCAAAAATAATCAGAAGAGTAAAATTAAGAAAATAAAAAAATGAAGTTGTGAAACAAAAAAGTTGTTGTCTGGAAAGGTTAATAATATTGATTAATCTTAGCAAATGTGATCAGGGACAAAAAAGAAGACACAAATGACTGGAAGCAGGAATGAAGAGAAGATGTCACTACCCACATAACAACAATAATAAGAAACATAATAAGCAATTGTATGCCAAAAATCCAGTAACTTAAATGAAATTGACAAATTTCTGAAAAATACAACTTAACAAAACTTTCCCAAGAAGAAATAGAAAGTTTTAATTATACTATATCTACTAAAACTTGAGTTTATATTTTAAAAAATCTTTATCAAAGAAAACTCCAGGAACACAGCCTCACTAGCCAATCTTACCAAACATTTAAGGAAGAAATAATATATTGCACAGGTGATTTCATAAAAATAGAGGAGAAGGACACATTTACCAATTTAGTTTGTGTAGCTCTCATAATTCTTCTACCAAAATCGAACAATAACCACAAGAATTGGAAATTATAGAGTAATATCCTTCACTGATATAGATGGAAAATTCCTTTAAAATCTGTTAATGAATTAAATTCAGCAGTAGTCAAATCCATAGTTAAGGGAAACTGTGGTTTGTTATTTTTCATTAATATTGAAAAAATTTTTAAATTTACTCTTTCAATATGGCTCTTGCCTTATTTTCACTCTCTGGTTGATGAAGGAATCTTGCATTCCTGAAAGACCTAGGTGGGAGGAGGGCAGACATTCAAGAATGTCACTTGAATTCTTCAACTGTGATGAGAGGGAGAAATAAACTTTGATAGTTAAGCCAATGGAAATTGCAGATTATTATTGCAGCTGACATTATCCACCATGATCAAAAACTTAAGCATTTTAAACATACTAATTTCATAGTTTTTTCCCCCCATGATTGTCCTATTATCTCCATTGGTGGGTATAGATTTTCTGCCTATGGACTTTCCCTTCCTGTTGACTATGTCTCCCTATCATGTGTAGTCTGTTTCCTTGAATGCTTTGTTTTTTTTTTATTTTGAACTCAGTCTCATGAATACTGTGACTTTCTTTTGGAGTTCTGTTTGTGAAGTTATGGAAGTCTTCCTCCAGAGGAATCCTTGAATCCTAAACTGGGTGGGTAGTACACATTTGTACTTCACACCTAAACCTAACACACTTTGGAGTAACTTCTTTCTACTAATGCGAGTTCAAGAAGAAAATATGTTTTCCCCAAATTCCCTCAAAAATGGTTGAGGTTTTCTGGTTTCTCTTACGTGGAACAGGAAATTTTTCTCAGGCTCTGGATTTATGTGAATATCTTTATTCCAGTGCCCCATCTTTCATACGTCCAAGTTCTGGTTGTCTTCCTGGAGTGTGTTAAAATTTCAGAGTCTAATCCTTGAGAACATATCTTTGGTTTACCTCTTCCTAGGGTTATCATAGCAATATCAGTTTGTTAGTAACTACTTGGAATATGTTTCTGACCCCTGTTTATAGAAGCTCAGGTATGTATTAATTTTCTGTTTTCTTTACCATTTCTTTATGCTGGGAATGGGAGTGAGGGTGGAGCCTGAGTAGCCCCACTGCTCTCCTCTCAGGATTTCCTACTCCTTTCTTCACTTTACCAATTAAAACAAAACAAGGCAAAACTGAATCCCAGAGACAGGGCTGAATATAGTAAAGCTCACAGGCTTACTTATTGGCATGATGGTGAATAAAATTTTTCTATACTCACATCATTCTAAAGTGTAAATTGAGTGGATTGTGCTTGTGGGTCCTTCAGGTTCCTAGCAAAGTACAGGGCATAAATGTTTATTGACCAGTTGATCCACCTTAAAATGGTTTATTTCTAATATTATAGTTTCTAATTTTACATATTTCTAATATTATGGTTCTAATTATAGTTTCTGACATAATGGGGTGCCACCATGGTAAGGAATCATTTCTGTTTGGGAATTAATTTCTCTGGGCTCATGTTCCTTTACGGTGGAAGGCAGGGCCCTTAGACCTTGCAAGATGTGTGCAGAGAATAAGTTGCACTCACATGAGGTGATGTGCGAGTGAAGATCTTCCAGTTGATGTCTCTGAGCTTTCTCTATTCTGTTGTTGGGTTTTAACTTCCTTGTCTAATATTGCCTTTGTCAGAAGGTTTTATCTTGCAGCTCATTCCTTTGGGAATGCCTAGGGTCGGGGATTAGGGGGTTTGGGGAGGCAGATGCCACACCTGTCTGTTGTTTTCTTTCCTTGGCACAACACATGCTCTTTGAAAGACCTGGTCAGTTGTCTCCTCTTCTATGAATGCTTCCATAAAAGAATCAGTCTTCCTTCTTCTGGGGCCTTAGAGCAGTTAAAGCCTATACTGTCGTGTGTGTACATGTATCAGTTAACAAACATAAATTTTCTTCAAGAAACCTCATTGCAAGGACAATGTATTTCCTTGAAATTATGGGGGTCAGTACACCATTCCTACTACTACTTTAAACTCAGTTACTTTTTTGTGAGCCTTTCCCTAGTTCTTAGCGTCACTCTAAAATTCCCTGTCTTAGTTCAGAAACGCGCGAACATTGTTGCTGTTGCCTCCTCCACATTTGTTGAATTGGGGCGGTTTAGACGAGCTGAGGTCTACTGGACAGCGGACGACAGCGCCCCCTACAGGGGCGCAGGAAACCCCGAGTATTTGTTTCTCTGTAACCTGTTTCTGGGAGCAGAAGGACAGAGACTACCAGAGCTCTCCAAGCCCCACCCTAGTACCTCTCTTCCAACCCCTTTTCATATCTTCTCAGAACCACACCTCCTCCCCCTCCTCAACATTCAGGACTCTCCCCGGCCCAGATCTCTACGGCTGTCTTCGCTGTAACTTCTTTGCCTGTTAATCCCACCTGGGACCCCAAAAGGCCTAAATAATACCACCAAGTTTTGGTTGTCAGTCCAACAGGAGTTGGAGTTAACTTTTCAATATTCTGAATCTCTTTTAAAGGCGAATGGAAATAAATCAAGCTATCTAATGAGAATCTCAAAATATACATTTGCATCTCCTCTCTTTTTCTGTAGATTGCCTTCCGCACATCCAGAACCCAGCCCAGAATCCAGCTGGTGATGTCCAGGGAATGGTTGCTAAAAGAATACCGGGGGCTTAACGGATGTTGGAGAGGGCTTCCTCTTTGATCTATAGAGAGACTTTCCTAAGCCTGGTTCCGGGTCGCTGCCACCTAGACGCTGATATGGAGGAGGGAGTCTTGGATCCGAGAATTTTTCCGACTTTCTCGAAGTGGTCGGATGCTGCTTCAGGTTGAGAGCAGGAGGGCGCAGAGAGGGGACAAAGAACGCAAAGAACAGAACCCTGTGTTGGAGAGCCCCCGCCCGAGGCGTGATGCGGGGACCGCTTAGTGGAAACTAGGATGGGGGTACCCAGAGCGTAAGCAGCTCTAAGTGCTAGCACTATCACCCAGGCGCAGCAGTTCCGGACGTAGCCAGGAAAACGCCCGGCCCTCCCTCGAGGGCAGGCGGGGAGGAGGCCGGGGGCGGGGCTCATCACGTGGAGAGGCGCGCGGGGGCGGGCGAGGCGGGGGCGCGCTCGGCTCTTTAAAGGCGTGCGAGCCAAGCGGGAGAGGTGGCTCCGCGGCCGCAGGCGCAGGCCCCGGCTGACAGCCGAGACGGCGGCGCGCCGGCTCGCGGCAGCTCTGGGACCCAACATGCGCGGCACCCGGGGAGGTGTCTGGCTGGCGCTGGTCGCGTCGCTCCTGCAAGGTAAAGCCAACGCGTCTTCCTGTCCTCCACTCTTCCGCGGGATCCCGGGCGGCTCTTTGCGCTCCGCTAGGGGGGCCAGGTTGGGTATCCCCGCCAGAGAGGGGCAGCAGGGCGCTGCCGGGGCTGCAGTTCTGGGCTGCATGGTTGAGCGGCAGGGGTCGCGAGCAGCGGGGCAGGAGGGAAAAGGAAGGGGGGGGGGACGTGGGGGATCTCTCCGCTGGCCTTTCCTGAGCAGCTTGCCGGTGCTCTTTTCTTCGTAAGTGTCCCTGCAAGGCGAGTTCCAGAGGAAGCTCTACAAGGAGCTGGTCAAGAACTACAACCCGTTGGAGAGGCCCGTAGCCAACGACTCCCAGCCGCTCACAGTCTACTTCTCTCTAAGCCTTCTGCAGATCATGGACGTGGTGAGTCCCAGCGCCGGCTGCAAGGATGCCGTCTCCCTGCCGCCAACTCCTAGGGGCTGTGGCAGCACAGGGACTGCCAAGCAGTGTAGCTTGGCCCGGACTTCCTAGCTGGTCGCGGACGAGGCGGCCCGCAGTCTGACCAGGACTCCAGTTTGCCTCGGGCTACCTTGGTCTCCCCGCCTGTTGTGGAGGGACCGGGTGAAGCTTTTTTTTCATCGCCCAGGCCACCTGTGCATGAGTACTTTGGGTCTCACCTTTCCCTCAGCTTAGAAACTCAGGGCGAAAGTATTCCATGTTAGGAATCAGTAGCAAGAACAGTGTGCAAATGGTCTCATTCGGTGTCAATTTAATCAGTTCTAGGCTTTTCTGCTGCTACTAGTGTGTAGGTTTGTCATAGGGCGAGCTGTGGATGTTTGGACTCCCCTCCCATTTGAGTAATGGAGATTTTTTTTTTACCTTTCTGGTGGATCTTCCTCTGGCAGTCTTCCTCGGAGAACTCAAGGCTCCACACCAGAGATCCACTTGTCTGTCCCTTCAGGCAGCTGCTTCCAGCTCTTATTGAACTCTTGCTTTGCAGCCTTACCAGTGCCCATTTCACTTGGCAAATCTGTGCACTGTCCTCTTGTTTTTTCTTCTAGACTGCTTTGAATATTCAATATGCATTGGTATATCCTTCATAGAGTACTGATACTTTTGCAAAATGTTTGATTCATTATGAATGGGTTTGCATGTCTGGTCCACACAAGGCATCGGATTCTGTTCTGGAGTGCCTGGATTAGGGTAGGGTGGGGCAAAGGAATAATGATATTCATGGAGAGGAAATGATGCCATAACAAAGAGGTGTGCAAGTTAGCCACAACTCCAGGTAGAAAGTGCTAAAAGCCACCAGAAGGTTTCAGGAAGAGTGGCATAAGATGATAGTGACATTTCATAATCCTGCAAATAGTTACCCACATGGCCATGCTGATACGTGTTTGTCATTTAATCTAGTTAAAATTGCAGTGACAAATGACTTCCTTCTGATATTACATGTGTGTCAAATGTGTACTTCTTCCTACAGAAAGAATCCTGTTTTAGATATTGAATGTATGTGTGATGATGTGGAAAAGTTATCTTGAGAGATGTAGGGGAAGATAGCTACTGTCACCTGGATTACTGGTTTATGAGTTAGTTGCTGTTTATGGAGCACAGGCTACAGGGAAGGAGAGAGGATAGGGATTTCAAGTTAGGGAAACAAACTGAAAAAGAAGTTCTAGGTCACAGGGCAATGGAGGTGCAGAGGATTTGGGGTGGAAGAGGCATAGAGACTCCAGGGCATTTGTAAGATGTACTGCTTTATAAAACAGCTCCTGTGTTACTTTAAGGAGCTCAGGATTTGTTCTTGGGATTTTGGTGCCTTTGGGCTTTGTTGGTCTCTGGGTTGTTGATTTTAGGTGAATTTCTTGAGTCTCCTGAGTCTTGACTTTCCTGTAAATAGAATGGATATTTTAGCAATTCATGGGTTATTGTGAGTAGTTTAAGAATGTGGAGATAACTTTAAGAGACCCCACACTGTGCACATTCTGTAGTCATTTTCATAGAAAAATGACATGAGGAAGGGCCAGGCAGTTGAGCTAGTATACTCCACAAATGGTACATGATAGGGTGAGAAAGGGAAGTCAGTCCCCCTTTCCCTACTTGCTCAGGATCTGCTCTGGCCAGGCTACCTCACTGTATGTTCCACAGCAGCCTTTTATGGGGTTGCCCTCATGCTATCTGGATAGGATGTGATGGTGTAGCAGCTACTTTGCTGAGGAACATGTGTGAGCAAGTGAAGCAGGCCTTCCAAGGCTATGGGAGACTGCTCACTCACAGAGAAGCTATAAGCTTTTTATCCTGGGTATCCCTGCCTCTGTAAGAGACTCTTTGAGGAATGTGATTAATATGAGGCATTTGACCTTAGAAGAAGTGAAAGCGTAGTTAGCATTAATGATGAGAAAAATTCTAAAAATTGTCATTTTTTTTAAAAGTTAAAATAAAAAATCATAAGCACTGTGTACCCTGACCATTCCAGTGTTATAAAACATATGAAGATGACCATCAGCAGCTAGAGGTCATGGAAGGGGCAATCGGAGAAAGTCTTAAAGTCACCTTGGCCGTGGATCTAGCTGTGAATGGATTGAACTTCCCAACCAGGCAATGCTGCGTGTTTGTGGAGTGGCCTTGAGAAAAGTACTTTAGCTTTATAAGCCCTGTTTTCTCATGTGTAAAATGAGAATAATAATATCCACTTCACAGGATTTTGAGAGGATTAAAAAAGTGAAAGTTCTTGACACACATGATTCACTGAAGATTTGCTCTATCTTAATCACAGAAGTATTTACAGGGCAGGAAGTCCATGCCTAGAAAGGTGTGGTAGCCTGCCTAAGGTCACACAGTGATTAGAGAAAGGGTAGTGAGGAAAACCCACATCTAACTCACAGGTCCTTCTTTCTAAATTTGCAGCCTCCTTTGGACTGGGTAACTTATTTTGTGGAACAAAGTCAGCATAATCTACTTAAACTGAATGAACTGTAACAAATTGAATATGATTGTCCTAACATCCTGGATGAGAAAGAAGTCTCTATATGAGACAAGGAAATATGCAATTATTTGTATTCTAGTTCTGCTTGGCTCTGCCTTGTTAAGAAACAAAATCAGGTTTTTCCAGCTGAAATCTCAGCACCCTGGACAGAGACACTATGGTCCTCATAAGGGAATTATGTGGCAAAATCTTGGCTGATAAGGATTCTCTTTACAAATTCAACTCTAGGGGTCATTTACCCATCTCACTGGGCTATTCTAGACCATAGTCATTTCCCCCCGCCCCGCCCTATTATTGTTCCACTTTTTGTCGGCAAGGAATTCTTAGAGAGCTAGGGAAATGGCGTATGTTTTTACATATTTTATTTTCATTAAAGATCATTTATTCTTTTGTCAATTTATTCTACACATTTATTGGGCTAATAATATGAACTTTGCTAGATTCTGTTAATTTACAGATGAGCAAGAGATAATTTCTATTTTCAGTGATCTCATTATCTGGCTTGAGATACTAAAAAAGTAAATCCAAGCTTACTATATTGATGAAATTTAACATAATATACCAAGTGCTGCAGATCTTCATAAGGAAAACAATTATTTCCAACTATAGTGGCTGAAAATGGTTTCAAAAAGGAAGTGACTGGCTTTCTAAAGGTGAGTGGAGTTTGCCAGTTGGAGAAAGTAGGAATGGCTTTCCAGGTAATGAGAACAGAGAGAGGAAAAATGCAGTGAAGGAGGCACACATTTCAACAAGGTGGGCTCCTGATTCCTGGGTGGTCTTATTTATTGTAGTTGGACATGATACCTTTATTTATTTATTTTTATGTGGTGCTGAGTTTTGAGAAGTTCTAAAAGAGGGATACCTGGTTACTGACAGTTTTACTGATCCTTTTATTTTGTGTTAGAGAAAACACCTAGCAAGATGGAAGTTATGATTTTTCTTTGGTAGAAGTGTTAATATGTGAGGTGTCTTGAATGCTTCTGCAGAGTTCACACTGGGCTCTAGTCTGGGTACCTAAGAGAACAGGAGGAAGTGGCATGCCAAGCATTTCATGAAGCTGAAAGACCAGCTTGCTGTAGCATGTTTTCCTAGAAATGAAAACAATCTAAACTGTGACATTTTTATTAAATGTAACAAGTGTAAATTATAGATTACAGTAAAAAATGTGCATATGTTTTGAGGACAAAACAAGAGTCTTCAAAGGAATTGATTTACCCACTGTGGTTTGCTCTAGTCAATAGGTGCTTGATAAAGCACTAGGTACAGAGTGGGAAGGTGAATTCCTGAGTAGGGGAGGGAAGTAATCAGATCTATGTTTAGATGATACTGAGAGCATTGTGTGTGGGATAGGTTGGAGAGGAAGGAGGAATGTATGTCAGAGATGAGGATGGGTCTTTTTTAGTCTGTTTTCTGTTGCTAAATTGAAATACTGAGACTGGGTACTTTATAAGAGGTTTAGTTTGGTTCTTGAATTTGGAGGCTGGGTAGTCAAAGGATATGGTGCTGGCATCTACTCAGTTTCTGATGAGAGCCTTGTATTGCTTTAATCTGTGGTGGAAAGCAGAAGGGCAAATAGACACACACAGAAGAGGCAAAATACCAAAGGTGACCTTATTTAGAACAACCTGTTCTTGGGGTAACTAATCAGTCTCATGAGAATGTATCCAAAGAAAGCATACAGAGTATCCAAAGAAAGGCATTAATCCACTCATGAGTGCTCTGTCTCCATGACTCAACTACCTCCCACTAGCCCTCACCTCCTAATACTGGTGCACTGAGGAATTTAAATTCCAACACTTGAACTTTTGGGGACAAACTGAAACAACAGCAAGGTCAAACTTAAAATGATACTTGTGGGAATGTGGAGAGAGGGAAACATTTGTTAAGTGAAAGTACCTCAATTATTCCTAAATGCATACACTCTGACTTATGATGATTATTAATTTATTAACCTCATGGGCTTGTCACTGGGCTGGGAATGAGATAGTACATAAGAAATCATTTTGAATTGTTGCAAATGGAAGATTCTAAACTGCCAACAATTTTCATAATATTTCTCCTTTATTCTTGCCATTTGGTCAGTCACCTGGACACATACATCTAAAGGCCATTGTAAGAGCTGATTTGCATAAAATAAATGTGCATAGTTATGAAATCATGTCCAGAAGGCAAGGTTGTTTAAGATGAATAATATGAATCAATATATAATTAGGCACAAATATAAAACACATAATTATGCACAAATGATTTTTGGAATTTTTATAGATTTTGGATTGCAGGTCCACTTTTTGGAAGTTTTAATCACAGGACAGTAGTGATCAAACATGTAGAGTTTACCTAAATGCAGAAGGCAGCAAAGTTGTGGAACCCAGTATCCTAGAGGCTTGTGTTTCCTCTGAACTCCCCTTGGTGGCCCTGTGCTCAGGCTCATCAGATT